ATTTTGAACACTTTCAAATAGAGTGGTGTTAAACGTGATGGTGACTGACTACAAAGAGAGAATTGCTTTGAATGTATCCTAATTACATGAAGGAAAAGGTCACCAGTGGTTTCGGGAGTTTTGATGTGCTAATACTGAACTCTGAATATCCTAGCAACCGTCCCGACAAGTCCGATGTGATTCAGTTTTGCAGTGCCTTTGATTGACTTACATTCCTTCTATAAGGTATGTAGGTAATATATATGTCATACTTTTGTATCCGATAGCTTGTTACTCCATATCTAAAGAAGACAGACTACTGCTTTCTGTTGTTGTCACTGCATAGAAAGGGCTCTCTGTTTAAACCAAGGTGTCTAGCCAAAATACATCACTATCACTAGCTTACCACATTTTCCTGGTCTGTGGAGTGAGTAGGCTGGGCGATCTTCATCTGGCGGTGACCAATCAGTCAGCACTTTTAGTCAACCATAGCTACCACTTTTTGAGACAATACTGGAAAAAATTTGGGTCAAACTATCACAGTATGTTACAAGACACTAGACATTGATCTGTCTAGTTTAAATAGGACTTTATTTAGGGACACCAATGCTACTCATAAATTGCATATATGGGAAGTGCTTCTAGGTGTTTCTCACTCACAGTTACTTCTCTACACAACAAAGTGTAAGTAGAAGTTATCAACGAACGAAAACAAAGCCAAAACGCAACCAGCCATCTTGTGCACATCCGTGCAGTAGGCAATGAGCCAAACCTATTATGTGAAGGCTAGTGACACCTACATGGTTGCCGAAATCCTCGGTAGGTGGAGTGGGGCTCGAGCCCGTGACTCACTGGTTAGTAGTCATCCCACTGAGCCACAACCCCAAGAAGTTATCACGTAACGTGTATTAGGTGGATGTACATTAGTTTGGTTTCATTTTTAACAATTGCCAAGTCTGAAATCAAATCATGCGTAAAGAGTACTCAAAGTAACCTCCTAATCTTCATTGTAAAGGTTAGTAGGCCATTGGCTTGTGTTAATCCTTGCAGGGCACATAGACAAAATCAATGTAGAACCTTACACACTATTGCGTTGGTTCAAGTTGCCACACTTCACAGTAGTATGCAAAAAACTGGTAGATAGAAAAAGTGACATCAAAATCGAAAAAGTTATGCGAGAACCCAAACAATTTGGGGATAAAGTTTAGTGCGAATATTCAAGCTTTAAAAGACGTCAAAGAGTAAATACATCTGTGCCATTGTGACCGATTTTCAACCATGTCATCAAGAGCCAGTCCTCAACTTCTGATTCCTATCGTCTAGGGGATCCCAACCAGGCAGTCTACATCTCCCCACACGACTCAAGCCAACAATCAGGGACTTCGTTAACTGGTACCATGTCTTGGTTTGGCCACCCTAAACCCTCTTCCAACCTAATTCAGCTTCCCCTAACATGGTGCATTAAGGCAGGTGGTGAATTGGCGTCCGAAATACGTACCCAAGCCACCTCAGCCGATGTAGATTCGAAACCTCATCAACTGACTTTCCTTCCCTACCTGGTACCTTCTGTTCAACCTCTACATTACTCACATGGTGATTCCAGCATACACGAGCGATGATGTGAAGACACCCGCGGTCAAAAATCCGTAGTCCCTTTGTATCTTCTTCCACTGACCACGTCCGACAGGTGAGTAAAAGGACAATGGATTGCAACTCAGTATGTTCGTCCTTTAACAGGTGGTGACATATCTCACCGGTCGGTGCCAGACATGATGCAAGTTTATAAATGCCAAACGAGCATTTTTTATCTGAGCTGAGATTCCGTCAGCAACCAACCCGTTGTAGATGATGTGATGTTGTGGCTCATTGGTTCAGGGAGATGACTATCAACCAGTCAGCCGCGGGTTCGAGCCCCACTCCACCTACTAAGGTTTGGGTAACCAGGTAGTATCACAAGCCCTCACAATAGGTGTGCCTGATTGCCTACTGAACGAATATGCACAAGGTTACTGAGTGGATCTTGGTTTCAAACTGCTGCAATTCCTCAAAAAGGTGAAGTAGTTGACGGATTCAACCACTTAAATTCCAATCCTTAAACTAGAGGTAGTTGGATCCCAATCTTGAAGCATCATCTTACATTAAACAGGTACGAAACGTATGGCAAATAGAAAAATTTCTACTGAAGGCGTTCAGAAGACTATATTTTGTCTTCGTCTTTGCCTAACAGGACAATATCTTCTGAGAACACCAATTCAAAGTGCCTATCAGTGAATAAAATAGAATCCTTGTGAAGTCGCAGGTATTTATAACATTATTAAACAGGAATAGTGACAGCGAACATCCCTATGGGATATCATTAGTTGTCGTCAGCTCAGATGATAACTCTCAGTGAGCACTATCACAGTTGCGTAAGCTGTGATTAGCTTAACATACTTAATTGGCACTACATTCAGTTGGACTGTTCTTCAAAGTGTTCTACCCAACGTTCTAGGCACCTGTCGTGAGAGACTATTAACGTCCCTTGTTTTTTGGTGTCCTTACTAGCCATCATCTGCCTGCCAGTATCTTTAATAGGTTTAAATAATTGCTAGGTATTACTTAACGCTGATGCCTTCCTCCTCTCTATCGCTTCCGTCACCCACCACTGCTCACGATCATTGCAAAGACTCTTAGTCAACTTATGTTTAGGCTGCTTTCGCCCTTCAATAGGGTCAAAGCCTGCTGGGATCAGTTTCGTCAAATCAAGCACTTCTAATGATGTCGCTAACCGTTGACTGTATGTTACCAACTGTCTTCATGGCTGTTTCTACAGGAGATTAGATATAACACCAGGTTCCTTCGGGGTTTAAATCCCTGCAGTGTTCCGATAAATCTCTTACTATCTGCTCCTTAAATGCACACCTGACGTTATCATTTTCCAGTCGAGCGCACATGCTTCAATGCCACCTGTTTTCAGCGATCAGCAAGGCACAAACATAGACGTACCCGTACCGAGTCGTGATCAAAGTGTAAAAGAGTACTACAATAAGAACGGCAACCATCGACCGATCCCCTCCAACGATGGCCTCAACTAATATGACCTATCTGTCTTCATCGTTGGTTTCATGTCGGTGGACAACAAGTCAGACAGCATCTTTCCTTATACTTGAAGTTGGTCCTGATCAGAAGCAGGTGGTTGTCAGGACAAAGTTGTTACGAACGATCGTTGTTTCCTTTCCGTTGACATAGGATACCGCCGATACCTCCAAAATGTCCTAATTGCCTCATTTTTCTGATTTGAGTGTCGAAGTCACCTGCTAGTATGAAAGTTTTGCTTTGTGTAGTAAAATGGAAAGCTTTTCATTGAATTCATCATTCATCTGTCTAACGGAAAGCCGACATTAAGACTTGAGAAGACTGATAATGATTCAAAGAAAGACTGGAATCGAGATAGACAATATTCAACGCATTCTTTGTGAAAGAAAAACATTATGACGAGGATTGTAAAACTTATGAAGTTATCACAGATACCTTTATTGTCTAAAGCCGACGTTGATGGTTTCGTGTATAGAGCTGTTAAGCTTTAATTCTGGTTATTCAAGGGTGTACTCTTTTTTCTAGAACTCGTTCTTTCGTAAGTAACGTTAATGTCTGTCATTTGGTTTGGATCATCAAAACATTTCGAGATGATAATGTTGGCAGAACAAAATGAGTGAGAAGCGTAAGATAGGAGAAGGAACAGGACCAAGCAGCCGGTCAGAGACACGGTAGTCAGTTATTGGTGAAGCGAAGCGTTTCTCTTTATATCTGCTATACTGCTTTCATATTCGAAAATGTAGACCAATTATAATCTGTAAATGGATGTGTCATATCAGGGTTCACTATCAGAGCTTTGCGAATTGGAATAAGTCAAATGGAAAAAGTAGTAGAAGAGAAGATATAAAAAATATTGTATTTTCGGAGCTGACCTTTTCTAATTCCCTCTATCTACAGGTAGGGTAGTATCGGTATGATACTGCTTTTCATCCGTAGGAAAACATTGCTTTCACACTCCGCCCAGCCAGCAGTATGCTTCGCCGTCATATCAGGATATGTTACACCATAATAGTAACTGCTTTTTGTTGTAGCACTATCCAGCAGACTTTCTTTGTACATCATGGCCTCAGGGGAATAAGTGTTTCCACCAGCATAGTTTGTTGAATCGTTATAGTATACAAACCCTACCACAAAGTCAGGGCCACAGATATCGATTGGGAACAATGTAATTTAGCAGCTATATGGAGGTTTTATCAATAGGTAATAAACCAAACCCGTTCCTGCTGATGACTGGTGCCCATAAGCATCGAGCTCGTTTTCCACTGGTAAAAAACCTAATGCATATGTCAGTGAAATATAACCCCACAGAAAAGTTAAGGTAGAGCGACTTCATACTGTTCAAAGAAAAATGTAATGTTAGGTTTTACCTTTCTTCATCAAACGCAAGTAGTCGTAATCACGGAATAATTAGTTCGAGAGTTCGAGGAGTGCTTTGTCGCTAAAACGAGCCCTTGTTTATGAGTCTACGCCCTCGATTTTCGACCACTGGACTACGAGTTTGAATTCGCCATCTTTGAAGGTCTGCACGTCCACGCGTAATAGGCTTGCACAATTATCTACTTCATAGACGTGCACATGGTTACTTAGTTGCATCGCACTATTTTTAAAGTGTGATCAAGTATTAGTACTTCTGGATTGGGATTTATTTGGTTTGGAAGGAGAGTGTTTATCTTTCTGGTTTCAGAAAATCATTAATTTGAAATGTAACTACGATAATGCGTTCATAATCTTCCACTGTGTAGAAGTTGAGTACTCCATATAGTATCTTGTGAGACTAAGTGTCACCGTAAAATTCCCCAATCATGTTGTGCATTTCTATCAAATATTTTCAGCTTTTCTCAGTTTCGTTGATCACTTTTCACCTATTTGTTATATAGTTGATACAGATATTCTTTTGCTTTCTAAATTTTACTTCTGGTAACATTACAGCACAGTAACCATAACCAATGGATCTTTTGAAAGCAGAAATAGCGAAGCAGCGGGAGAAGCTTGCGACTAGTGGACTCGTAGTATGTTTAGAAATTCTGGTTTGTCCGATTCTAATCATAAATTTTAGGGCGAGAACAAGTTCTTTAAACGATCATTGCTGAAACAAAAAGAGGAAGAGGAGTATTTCAAAAAATCAAAACGTATCAAAGAACAAGCCAACTACGATGAAGAATATAGTTTCAGGGCAAAGGTAGGACTGTTTTCTAAGTAGATAACTTTTTATTACAGACAGAAGAAGAAGATCTCTTATTAAAAAAATTCGAAGAAAGAAGTCGAGAAGAAAGGGAAAAAGGAAAGCTTATGCCACGTAAGGAAGTAAGTTTGTTTATCTTCGTTAACTTACTTTGTTAGGTTATTCGCCTTTTAAGAGAGCGTAATCAACCCATACGCTTATTTGGTGAAAGTGATTACGATACTTTTCAGCGACTTAAAAGAGTCCAACTTTTGGAGCCTGAATCAAAAGGATTACGCAATGATCTTATCGCAGCTTTAGATAAAGTTGGTTGTCAATTTTTGTGCTATTGTTGTTAGATAGATGATGCTGAGGATGAAGAGTTTTATACATCTGGTCGTGGAAGGTCGGGTTCTGAGGCTCAGTTTACCGACAGTTCATCAGTCTCTTCTACTTTGGATGTCAAGACAAAAGAAGACACTTTGACAGAAGATGAATTAGAAAAAATGAAAGTTGATCTAGCCCGTTATGTTACACTTAAGGAAGGCACTGCTACAGATGATGCAACAACTGCAGTAGTTTCCATCAGCAAACTTGCACCAGATAGTGTATGTAATAATGATTTTGACGAAGGGTTTCATGAACAAGTGATCGAACATGTCCTTCGTTACCTAAAGGTGAGTTTATCGGTATTCGAAAGATTTCAAGTTTAGCCAGACAAGCTTAGTGCAACAGTTGTTGTGGTATACAAATAAAAAATTACTCACTGTTTTCGTCATAACTAAAAAGGTTTAAACTTATCTTCGATAAGTAGTTCGCTGATAGTAAGCATTATAGGATAGTGCTTAAGTGACGTGAAAACAGTTTAATTAGTTTAAACAAAACGGCTTTTCCAGAGTAATATGACAAAGTACATAGCTGATCAAAAAGATTTCAAACGAGTTCAGTAACCGACCGGTGACTGATCCACTTACCTAGTTGTTAAAAACCTACCCATATATAATTGTGGTGTATAACATGTTTTTCGTTTCACTTCACTTTCACGAGTTATGTGGCATGGCAAACCAACCTATTCCATCTTATTTTTGTTATTGTCATTGTTTCCAATTCCTTACGAAAATTAGGTTTACGGGAAACAGCTATGACCAATGACTTCTTGTCTCCAATACTGTGTTCTGTAAAGCCTAATTCTAAAAAACATTCTATTTTTTGTGGTACAATGGAATAATGAAATATATGCATAGCTTTTGCATAGTTTCTTGTGTAGAACTCACTTTCATATTTCTCTTGCTTGTGCATACATACCGAAGGGCTTTCCAAATTTACAACAGATCATTAATGTGGTCATATTTCTTTTTTGCAGATCAGTGTTCCACTATTAATTAAGCCGTATTTTTATTCTTATGACAAGAAAACGGCGTGTATCAATGATTCCTCGGGTTTGTAAATTCTTTTCTTTTGCACATTACTCACCTGTGACATGTTACAACGCAAGCGTTTCGTTACTGTTCCCTCAATTTTTCCACCCAGAATAAAATGATAAATGCTTGTTTGACGTATTTGCTTTTAATGAATGTTAATCAATTTTATACGATATCTCTCCTATTTGTTTACGATATTTGTAACCTGCGTAATAATGTGCCGTAACCTTTTCCATTTCATTAGTTCCTTTTATCAAAGTGGGGTCACGCTCTAAACACTAGAACCAAAGAGGAAAAGCTATCTTATTCGGGGAAAATGGCTAGTGCAACTTACACACAAACTGTAGAATATATTAAACCACTCCTTCGTACTCTTCAGAATAATGTAAGTCCTTATATAGTCTCTCAGTAATCCGCTTTTTCGTTCCAGCGTTGTAAAGCAGATATTTTGAATTCTCTTGTAAAAATTATGGTTTTGATGATGGACCGAAACTACTTGAAGGTTAGTTGTGTTTTCATCCTGTAATACTTTACGTACATTTTATTGGCTGTCAGAACGATAATTGGTTTCCCGTTTAGTCAATCAGCATTACCATCATGACGTAGCAGTCCAAGTTGTTGTACCTCATATCAACAAATTAAGGAAGAGAATACTAAGATGAGAGATTGAGAAACAAGGACGAAAGCAATCAAAGTGGTAGGGAGCTGTGAACGATAAGGCGGAATGAAGTAATAACAAAATTCAGGATTACTATTAAGATGAAGATAGTCTATGAAGGGAACACCAGCATCATTAGGATCAATTCTGAGCGAAATAAGTTAAAGTCTCCAACCACCGATTTCGCTTTTCACACAGACCTCAACCGAGAAGTCTACATTTCTCTACACGGGTTAGATCGACAGTCATAAACTTCATAGACTGATGCCATGTTTTAGTCTGACCAACTTGAACCTATTCTAGCCTGAACCTACTTCTGCTATCATTGCTCAGCGAGGTAAAGGTGACTAGACATGTGTAACATACGTTGCAGATACATCAATCGACGAAGGTCTGCCACCTCATCTATTGACTTTCTTCTTTTATGGGAAAGTCTACACCTGACTGCGTGATGATGTGGTAACACCACGACACATAGTCTGTGCTATGTAATCAATGGCAGTCGATCAGCTGAAGCTTTACTGGGCGTGTTCTACCGTCACATAGGGCATAGCGGTCTGCAGCGCGGTAGACTCAACTCTTAATGGGCGATCGGATGTCATGATAGCTCCACAGATGACGTAAGTTTGCAAACGCCAATCGAGCCTTTTATTTTAGTGCAGGTATTTTGTCAGTCAGTACTACCAGCCCTCCAGGTCTTATCTAACTTCCTGGTCAGTGCGCGCAGCCAAAAATATACATTTTGATGGTGAGAAGCGCACCTCAAACATTCTCCAGTTGCCATTCAAAGCGTTTAGAAGGCTGCATCCTGTCCGCATCTTCGCCTAACATAACTACGGTCTTCGTGTCCATAGTTCGGCAAAAGAGTCTCCTGTGGCAAGGTCAATCTCTGTAAAGTCAGATGAGGAAAGGATGACCTCTATAAGCACGTCTATAACAAAGTTAAATAAGAACGGGGTGAGTGGACATCCTTGATGAACACCATTCGAAGTACATAACTCAATTGACACCTCACTATAAGCTTTAACACACTGACCCGTGTTTTAATACAGCGCCTTCAGCAGGGTGATATGCTCATCCGACACCCCTTTTGGGTAAGACACTGCTATAAAACCTCCTAGTCGATAGGGTTGAGTAACTCCTTCACATCGAGAAATACAGCTAATCCCGGTGCCAATAAGTGTTTCTATGTTCCAGAACTTGTTGGAGGGTGAATATCTGGTGGGTGGGTATAACCGTGACTAGGTCAGAAGTGTGCTTGGTTTTCTCTTCCTGATCTTCAACTAGATGTCTAATTATTATAGAACTGAGGATGTTAGGCACTTTGTTGATCAGGCTGATTCTTCTGTGCTTATCACAGTAGGATTTTCCCCCTTTTGTGAAGATTGGAACAATTAGTGATTCCAACCAGTCAGATGGGGGTCGTATATAATTTCTATGCTCTAGCTAGTACTTTTAAAATAGAATATCCCACCAACTGTATGATATGGAGGTGTGTGACTGATGTCAGTTCATGATGAGTACCAACCTGAAATCAACTTTGTAATCGTTGGTTAAGAGATATTATATTTCAATTGAAATTTCCGTAGTATTCATTATCATTATTATCACTATTGTTATTATTATTATTATCATTATTGTAAGGTTTTCAGTAGGAAAGATGCAAAAGTCTGATATCCAGAATAGCGCCCCTAAACTAGTTTCAGAATTATTATCACATTTTCATGCATCTTGGTTAAAGCATGTTAAACAGTTCGTTTTCGACGGTTGATTTTTACTCCTGTTTGGGCAGATTTCACACATTTACCTATCCTGTTGCGTGATACTTTCAAAGTTTATACGTAATATAAACAATTTAACCCATTCATTTTCAGCACCCATCAACTGTAGTCTCAAAAAGTGTACTATTGCCATTCTGTGCTGATGAAATAATGCAAACGGTTTATTTTCTTTACCCGATTTAACGTTGCCATCATTAGAATCATTATTTACAGTAGCAGCATTTAGTAACGTACGTAATGATGGGGAATGCGCTGAATTGAATCACTAATGAGACTTCATTTACAGTAATTTCTAAACGTACTCTCAAATATTAGTTTATAAAATCGTAACCCCGTGGAACTTTCTCTCGCTGAAAGTCCCCTTTGTTGATCGATTAAAAATCTGTATGATTTTCCTCTTTCATTTTTTTTCTGCGGGACAATTTGTTGATTTCCTGTCAGTTTTGTCACTGCATCCGTCACTACCTAAGTCAGTTATCTTTTTTCGTTCTATTGCTGCTTGTTCCATAAATAATGACCGTCTTTCTAATTTTTATAGGCTAACGATGCGTATTTAGAATTAGCAATTGGCAATGCTCCCTGGCCACTGGGTGTCACTAACCACGGTATCCATTCACGTACTGCCCAAGAAAAAATCTACGCTAAGAACGTGGCACATGTTTTAAACGATGAAACACAACGTAAATATATTCAGGCTATCAAAAGGCTAATGACACAGTGTCAAAAGTTCTTCCCGTCTGACCCATCAAAATCTGTCAACTATATGGGCACTGTTGGATAATCTGGCACACTACCTTTCGCCTTTATGATGAGTAACAAAATGTGTACATAGTCTTTTTTTGTGATTGATTAATTTAGATGAAAATTTATCCTGTGGTGTGTAAATATACTTGAAATAAATTTCTGAGAATTCTTTCCATTCCCATTTGTTTATTCTCTTTTAAGGATGTCCAGCAACTCAGTATTCCTATATTTAAGGCAATACTTTGGAATGTATGCTTTAAGTGAAAATTCAAATGAATATAGCATCATATTTCCCCGAAATAGTCTTAGTTCGTTCAAAACAATCACCATTGTAACTCATTTCTGTAACTATTTGTCTTGATCAGCTAGTCTAATTAGGACTGCCTTCAAAGACTGGACTAACAGCATAATCATAAACTATATATCTTATGACTTGTGAATGTTTTATTGCCCGGGAACAAAACTTTTGAATAATTTTCTGAAAAAAGCGTGTACCTTGTAAAAATTTATGACACCTCTTTTCAAATAATAACATCTGTCTTTTTGTAGATTGCATAGAGTGTAAACAGCTTACTGACTGCTGTAAGCTGAGTGGTGTATGCAATAGTCACACTGCATATAGAAAATTGTTTGAAGTATTTAAATGTGTTGGAGCCCAGTAACATTGATATATTGGTACAAAGAGTATCAGTTTCTTTCAAACGACCTACTAGCTACCTGGACGCCCTATACAAAATACATGTAAAGTATAGAGGTTTGTTTGTCCATAACGCAACAATTACTAAGTTGTTTTAGAAACTGACACAATCTATTTTTAGAAAATGGCATTATTCCCAATTTTGTCTTGAGTGGTGAATATGTCAGGTGATAGTAATTGTAGCACCCTAACCTTCTTCACTTCAATATACTTGGACTTCATGTTGCTTAAAGTCTAATACTGTCGGTAACAAACATTTTCAGATCAAAAGTGATACAATATTTTTTTGGTAGCAGGACGGTAGCGAAGAAAAACGACACTACCAGTCAGTCCTACCTAACACTTCCTTTACCTAGATGAATCCCATATAAGGTTTCATATTCAGTTTTGATAACATTTCTGTACCTTGTATACCTTGATGACAAATAACCAGGAAGCTGTGCAAGGGTTAGACGACGGTATTTTGAGGTGATGCCGTTCTCTTCAATAAGTACCTCTCCATGCTCACGTCGTCTTTTAACTCATGGGACAACAAAGAATACCCGAAAGAGTGGAAAAGCTAGTTGATTTCAAAAAGGGAAATCGAAGTTATACCGAAAACGTATAGCTTTATATGTTATGTAACTAACGGGAAACCGACATTAAGACTTGAGAAGACTGATAATGATTCAAAGAAAGACTGGAATCGAGATAGACAATATTCAACGCATTCTTTGTGAAAGAAAAACATTATGACGAGGATTGTAAAACTTATGAAGTTATCACAGATACCTTTAGTGTCTAAAGCCGACGTTGATGGTTTCGTGTATAGAGCTGTTAAGCTTTAATTCTGGTCATTCAAGGGTGTACTCTTTTTTCTAGAACTCGTTCTTTCGTAAGTAACGTTAATGTCTGTCATTTGGTTTGGATCATCAAAACATTTCGAGACGATAATGTTGGCAGAACAAAATGAGTGAGAAGCGTAAGATAGGAGAAGGAACAGGACCAAGCAGCCGGTCAGAGACACGGTAGTCAGTTATTGGTGAAGCGAAGCGTTTCTCTTTATATCTGCTATACTGCTTTCATATTCGAAAATGTAGACCAATTATAATCTGTAAATGGATGTGTCATATCAGGGTTCACTGTCAGAGTTTCGGGAACTGGTGTACGTAGTGTACTGCATAGTTGACATTGTTATCTAACTTGAACATGCTTAATGTGTAAAACAACGGCAGAATCCAGGATAGTTATTTGTTTATTAAAAACCGATGCGGACCATTACAATCCTTTGATGAAGTTTGTTTTACTGGAAGTAAATGTTTTTGCTTTGTAAAAGGATCATACGATTGTAGTTGGTCATCCTTGTTAGTTTCTTACAGTTTTTTGCAAATAAAGCCGACGAGGGTTGCTTTACACCTATGGTGAACAGATTCGACCGGCTGCTTACAAAACTCTGCCTGGTATCTCACAAACAGAAGTTTATGAAAGAGTTTCTTGATATGCAGTCAAATACAAAGTAAGTTATCTGATGAGGTCCTTAGTGGGAAGATTGTATTAATTTAATTTTTCTGACTATAACACTTAATTATTGTTTATTCAAATTATTAAGAATCCTCATTATAATTCAAATGGCTATTCGAGTGAACAGAGAATATTCTTCTCAATAACTTCTACAAATCCCATAGTTATATATACATATTGGGGAAATACGCGTGGGCAATATAGAGATTCCGCTTACCAATCGGTAATAATATTATACAGTTGGGGAAGTCAATTCAGAAAAGTTGTGATAGTTTAGTATAACAATGGGAAGGTGTTGATGAGAGCTGGATGAAATAAACTAAGAAAGATCATTTAAGGAATAATAGCTTGATATAATGTTAAGAGAACCTGTTATAATTATTTCAGATTATAGCAAAGGATATACAGTCAGATATCAGACCTAGTGCCGTCATACAGTCTAGAACTAGAATGTTTTAAATTTGATCTGTTTGATTGTTTCTACCAATATAAGAGCAGTTAACAAAAATGTGAAATTGTTTTGACTAAAAAACAGAGACTACTAAAAAGATTGTAAATTGTAAAAAATTGTTTATTACTAAGCCTGATAAATACGACTACATGGAAGAGAATAAACTGATTCTTCGAAGAAATTGGTAGAGCAACATATACTGTCACCAGGCATGTATTACGCGCTGAAACCTATTGGTACCCCCTTACCGAAACTGTATGGGCTGCCTAAGATACACCAACCAAGATTGGCGTTAAGACAAATTCTTGGTGTGCGGAAATCCCCCTACCATGCTCTAGCGAAATAGCTGGTCACTATTCTCTAACAGCTAGTAGAACATAGTATGAAGGACGTGTTTGAATTGCTAAACAGAATTAAGAATACCAATATCATGAATAAAACTATGATGTCACTGGATGCGGCATCTTTACTCACCAATGTTCTTGTTGGAAGAAAAGTCTATCAATGTTTGAATCCCGATAGACGTCCTCAAAGAATTATTACTCAAATGTACGATGAATGTTAGATTTAACGGCGCACTATACCAACAAGTAGTTGGAGTCGCAATGGCCTCACTACTGGGTCCCATTTAAGCGAACCTCTTCGTGTCAAAAGTAGAGAATGGTTTGCTTGAACGATCTATCTGAGAATTCTCATTCCACTGTCGAAATATGGATGATACATTCGTTCTGAGCCAAAACAACATGGGCAGATCAAAGAGAGTAAGCGGATTCAATTCAGTACACTGAAGGAAGAAGTTAACATGTGAGGAAGAATCACAGAGCAAGATAGCTTTACTCAATGTTCTGTCAGACGAACAGATGGGTTCATAAACAAGAATTTATTTAGGAAAGGTACGTGAACTGGGCAATACACACGTTTTCTCAGCTTCATCCCCCTTCAGTACAAACAAGATTTAATATAAAATTTAATTTACAGAATAAAGGCTATATGTTTAGAGGATACAACTGAGGGAGAACTGACAACTTTGGGCAACAGGCTTGTTGAAAATGGCCTTCTTGACATATTCATAAAGAAACATATGATTACGAAAGTGGCAAGGAAGGATATTCCGATGGCTAGCAGGGAGGCACCATATATTCGGGTACAATTCAGAGGTGATGTGCCTAGCGAGATTAATTCAGAGAACTTTTAATGCTGGTAAGTGGGAAATTACGTTTTCCACACGCTCGATAGTAACACCAAGACTGATAGATGAATTACCTAAACTGACCACTTCCTGTTGTGTTCATCAGTTCAGCTGCTCCTGTGAAGGCAGTTACGTCGGCCTGTAGTCCGTGAATTTAATCTTGTGTGCTCGCGAACATCTTCCAGCTTGCTTAAGTAAGGATGTGGGAAAGACCATTACCAGCTCCATATCAGCACACTTGGTTGAAAAGAACCGTAAGGTGGATATGAATGAGTCTCTTTCCATCCTGTACCGGGTTCCCATCAACTTGCTGAAAGGTACCCGGCTCCGAAGCAGTGGCAATCAAAATCTAACAATGGGAGGTATTTGTTCGCAAAACCAACTGTTGCCACTACAACTACTGTAGCCTGATTCAGGATGCACAAATTCCTTTACAACCTACCCTAAGTAATCTAATTTCATACTTTACTCCTTCCCTATAGTCTCAAATAATTTTAATACATTCTTTTAACCTATTTCGTCCTCCAACATGAATAACATTCTATCAGGCTATTATTCCTCAAATGATCTTTCTTAGTTTATTTCATCCATCCATCCAAATCAACATAGGACCAGGTATTAATTACTGCGTAACGGTCCGAGTTGCCACAGCTCATATCAGTACATCAAGTAGAAAGACAGTGAAGTGGGAGATGAAGAAAAAATTCAGTCAAAGGAAATATAAAGTACTAAGAGAGAGGAGAAAAGTGAGAAACTGATGAGATTCGGTATAGCGTCGTTAAAATGAGGATAATGTGTGTATACATCTGCGCCACTTACACCGGTTTTGAACCATATCACCTAGAGTCTCCAACCACTGGTTCCTCTTGTCCTGCAGTCCCCAGCCGGCTAGTCTGGATTGTCACACATGGCTCAAACCAACAGTCAAAGAATTCATGCATTGGTGCCATGTTTTAGTCTGGCCACCTCGGGCCTTTTTCCAGCCTGAGCCTACTTCGGCCAAAATTGTGTGGCTAGGCAGATGGAGACTATGCATGCGCAACACATTTCCCAACTATTGCAGTCGATGAAGGTTCACAACCGTGTCAAGTAATTTACGTCTGCTCCCTAAAACTCTACGCCTGAAATCTGAATTACTCACGTGGTGACACCGGGGAATACGGTTTATACTACGAAGGCAACGTTAGTTAGTCAAACACT